CAGCGTGGCCCAGTGCCAGCGCCCTCGGACCCTGGTCCTGGGACAAGGGTTATGGGCACAGCTACGATGGCAGCTTTACTGCCAAAGCTACAAGGCAGCACTGAGCCCATGGCAGCGAATAACTAAGAGCATCCACCTTGTCCACTTAATACACAGCGTAAGATTTCATTATCTACTTGTTACATGTGACCTATAAATCATTCCCAGAGAAATAAAAGCAGCACAACAGAACAGCAACTCAAGGAACAAGCCCCTTACTCTGCAGGCACGTATCCCAGCTTGTTGTCCAGAGGCTTGGAACTTCCACTGAGCAACGGGAACCCATCTGGAAAAGGGACATTAAATACAAGCCCCTCAACATCAACAGTCTTTACAACATCTGGGTGCGTTTGCTTTCCTGCTCCGTGCACACTGTCCCCACAAGCTGAGCCACCTGCCAAGGACAGCGGTGTGGAGGAAACAGAGATGGTGAACCCCATCTGCAATTCACAGGAGGCTTCCAGTGAAGCAGGGCTGTCTTCTCCTCCCTTCTGTAGTAACAACTGCTTTCCCAGGTGGATGTCAGAGGCCGAACTGCTCCAGAAGCAGGATGCTTCCCAAGCATCAGCCATATGCTGCCCTTCCTGGAATGAGGTTCTCATTCCTTATCTCATCAGCACCCTTCCCATCAGCAGCACCAGCAGACCTGCTCTTACCAGCCTTGAAAGGGTGAGACGGTTCAGACTGGCAGGGCTGTGAAATCAAAGCTGCAGGCAAGAAAGCAGATGGATTAAGGAGAGGAGACTTACCTGGGAAATACTTGTGCCATTTCTCCGCCAGGACGCTGTCCACCGACTGTCCAGCTGCCAAAGAGCTGCTAGAGCTCCGGCCAGTGCTCCAGGCCCACTGGTCCAGAGACACCCCGGTGGGGGACAGCAGGGAGCCACCCGCCTGCAGCTCTGCCAAGGAGGCGTACGTAGAAAGGGGGACGCCGTCGCGGGTCGTCGAGGAGAAGAGCCGGGGCTGGTGGTTGTTCAGAGAGCCCAAGATGCCAAGGACCCCGTTCAGCTCACTCGTGATATGGCGCAGAGAGCACTGGATCTTCTCTAGCTGGGGGACAGGCTGGAAATCAGTTCTTAAGTCAACTGGCAGAAGAAAGGAAAAGCAGGATCAGTGGGAAGGCACGGGAGACGCTGTACCCTGCACCACGCAGCCATTACCACAACCATGATCCCCTTGCAAACGGCAAGCCCTTTCAAGGGCTGTCCCCCTCACGCTGAAAGCCCCAGTACTGCACCCACCTGAGGCAAGACCCTGGCACAGGTGATGGTGGTGGTGGTCACACTTTGCTTCAACCGTCTCACCGCACACAAACTGAGCAGGAGGTGGAACGGATCGGTTGTGCTTTATGTGCTCATAAAAAGCAAAGCTCTCCAGGCCACCAGCCAGGCTGGAGGTGGAACCAGCAGCACTATGCCGGTACAAGGACCCATCTTACAGTGAGAGAAAAGCCTTAGGTTTCACATGTGCCTGCAGATATTTTACTGATCAGGGTCAGGGAGACCATCCCAGACTGGACAGATGGTCAGTGTTGCCACAGGGAAGTTTTCCAAGTTTTCTTGAAGCTTCAGCCTCGCCAGCCTCTCTGCAAGCAATGCAACCCTCCTGCCTTCCTGCTGTTTAGGGGGAACCCTTCTCCCCTGCACACCTCCAGCTACAGGCAACTCAGGGCAAGCAGAGAAGCACAAGCAGCAGACAGAGGGGAACGCAGCAGCCCCTCCTGCCACAGGTGTGAGGAGGAGGAAGCCTGGACACCCGCTGAAGGAAAGGCTGAAGCCAGGTTTTAAAGCCTGCTCTAAAAACAAAGGCAGACATCTAAAAAGCAAGTTCACGCGCAGATTCCACCTCTTTCATCTGCCAGTATAGGCAGGAAGTAAGTTTTTCAAATCAAACGTTACATACAGAGCAGTCCCGGTCACGGATAGCGGAGCTGCCTTGGGCACTAAGGAACACACGTGAGAACAGAAGGTACCTCTGAGGGGCAGGGGGAAAGCCAGAGCAGGTCCCAAGCACTCCCCATGGGGCACGGCACATCGAGCCTGTCGGGCACTTACGTTTCGGCTGACAGAGATTTACACTGGATGTGCTGTTTGTGTCCTCAGAGCTGCTGAGATCAAAAGTCACCATCTTCTTGCACGCAGCACCCTTCAGCGTATCTTCATCTGAAAGCTGGTCAAAAGGAAGGAAACACCACAAATGAAGCCTGCTGTCCTGTCCCTGAAACAGCAGAGCCACTGGAAAGCTGCCTGCAGCTGTCTGCGCAGGCAGGGCTGCAGCTGGGCACTGGCCAGGCGAAGGCAGCCCCATCTCCAGCCCAGCAGCACCATCTGAAAGTCGGGAACCTGCACAGCCTCTGGGAGAGGCACATGGGTGTGCTCGAGGTGAATCCAACAGCTGCCTTACTCTCCAACTCCGTGAGCAGCCTTCTGCCCCACCGTTCTGCTGTCAGAGAACATGTTTCTAAAACCCAGTTCCACTGGCCCTCCACCAGCTCACCAGCCCTCACAGGGACCAAGAGCCCTGTGGAGACTCCAGCCGAGAGGAGGAGACCAAGGGCTCCGAGCGGGAGCGCAGCAGGGGACAAGCAACAGCCATGCCAGTGGTTACCTCCTCCAGCAGCGAGGACTCCAGCTGGCCCAGCTTCTCCTCTTTCTTTTTGAGCAGCACCTGCCCTTTCCGCATAGCTGACCTCATCTTGTCCAGCTGCTTTTCTTCCTGCAGTGGATCAACAGCCATGCCAAAGAGGGAAATCAAACAAGAACAATGGGAAATGATCTACTTCAGCAGTCAAGGTACTTTCACTGCCTCGCTTCTACTCGGCACAGGAAATCTTGCTGCTGGAGTGAAACTGCTCCCAAGTCTTTGGGAGCACTGGAAGCAAAGCGTACAGAGCACATGCCTCGAAGCAAGTTCATCCTAAGGAAAAGGAGGTTTTCACAGAATGGTTTGGGTTGGAAGGGACCTCAAATATCATCTATATGACCTTCCCTGCCTTTGGTTGGCATGTCAGCAGAGCTGGCAAGTACTCAGAGATCCCTTCCCAAGCAAGGGTGAAATCACTGTAGAGGTACAACCATAGCCTTGTACCTACTGATGGGATAGATGGATGGATACCTGTCACTCCCTCTGCTATGAGGAGAAAGTGTTACGAAATTCGCATGACACAGGAATCCCTTTTTCCCCTACCAAATGCTTTCTCCATTTTTAAGGTCCCAAGAGCTCCAACTAATCATCAAGCTCCTGCAATCTATAGCAGGCTCCTGAGCCCTGGCTGTACTGCACTGACTGCTTCACAGATCCTTCCTAGTCCAAAGCACACAGCTCGAAACAGAATTGGAATGCTCTGCCCTGCAAGGCTCCGTGTCACGTTCAGACACCATGCAAGGTTGATAGGCTAAGCACAAACACACTGACACTTCCAGCTGCTCATCTGATGCACAGCAACATCCCTGTGATCCAAAGCCTGAGTGAGGTTCTTGTTAAGCCCGTTCCTCAGGCACTGCCTTTGCTCCCTATTCCTGAACAGCTCTTGGCCTTCCTGACGTAACCTCCACAGTCAGCCTGAGAGGAGAAGGACTCCAGCTCTTGTGTTACCACAAGGAAGACACAAGCAGGGACAAACATTGCATATCTATCAATAAAAGACATGCAAGATCTGGTTTCCAGGAGGACTGAACACCACAGCTGCCAGGCCAGTAATCAATCCCAGGGCTGCGTGTTCATTCGTGCAGCCACAACACCGACATCCCAACGCAGGCAGCACCAGGGGCTCACCTCCTCCAGGTTCTTGCGCATCCCCTCCAGGAGCTGGGACCTGTCAGGATCCTGCACCACCTCCTGTGCTTTCTGCATATCTTGGTGCCACTGCTGCTTTGCAGCTTTCAGTGCCATGTGCCTCCTCCTCATGGA